AAAGATAGAATCAGGGAATCAAATGATAGGTACACAAACATTTTGGTTTTTGCCTTAAAAAATGAGGTATAATTATATAGAATGAAATGCACAGATCTTAAGTCTACAGTTCAGAGTTTTGACAATTATAAAATCCTGTGTAACTCTTCCTAATCAGAAACTCTACTAAATATATTTGTGATTATTAAACATAAAAATACTGTAATTTGTAATACTCACAATTATTAATATTAAATATATTTGTGATGCTCCTCTTGCCCCCTGACACCCTGAATACATACATACTGAATATATACTACTTCTGAAAGGATGGGCAAAGAGAATTCTCACTCTTTTTTCTCATTCTTTTGATGATGTTCATGATCATAGTAATATTACTGTTACTACTACTAATAACTAAAATAACTAATGTATATTGAGCCCCTCCTAAGTGCCAGGCACTGTTATAAGAGCTTTGCATCTATTAATTCATTTAGTACTCATAGCCTGTGAGGTAGGTATTATTGTTCACATTTTCTGATTAGGAAAACTGAGGCACAGATTTAAGTAACTTGAATTAAGCCATACAACTAGTGAGTGTTGGAACTCAGATTCAACCCATGGCATTCTAACTCTGCACTGTATAAATTTAGATCTTATGCTAGGTGGCCTCCTAATAGTCAAATTTTATGTTATGAATATTCCACTTTCCTTAGTTTAAAAGCAAGTGAGGGTCCCTTTGTCTCTTCTGTTCCACTTTTCCACATAAGCATTCATTTAACGTTAGTTTTGCTTCTTTCTCTCTTAGTATATATTCCCGTGTGTTGTGATTTTTTTTTAAAGACTTTATTTATTTATTTGACAGAGAGAGACACAGCGAGAGAGGGAATACAAGCAGGGGGTGTGGGAGAGGGAGAAGCAGGCTTCCCGCTGAGCAGGGAGCCTGATGCGGGGGCCCGTGTGTTGTGATTTTTATAGTGGATCCTTTGGTTTAGGCTGTGGGCGGATCCCCTTAGCTCATCTTAATTTTTGATCTTCATTCAGACATAGATCAGTCTTCCTGTCAAGCATACCTGTGGCTAATGTAGGGCATTTTTTTTTTTCGTGCTTACACATTAGATTTATCAGTCCGTAAACCAAATTCTGCAAATTTGTCCAGTCATCAGCTCCCAGAAGCTCCTGCACAGCTATTTAAAACATTTGAAGCATGTTGGTGTCTGAAACTTCTGGGAGCACTACCAGCAGTCTTCCACTAGCTCCCAGGATTCTTTGGCAGCCTCACATATAGCTTCACAAAGTAGATAGAATAAATTTGCACCTATTATGCAATTTTCTACAAAATAAAATAAGTGAGTACAGATAAAAATATGTCTAATAGCAATTAAACTAGACTCCCTATGCAAGTGATAACCTCGTAATTCACAAACAATAAGCTTTCTCCTTATTTAAAAACATATTTACCAAACTTCTAAGCTTTATCTACATTTTTTTAAATTTAAAATCTGTGTTTGATAAAAAAAGAAAATGGTGCATATCTTCAAACAAAAATCATGTAATATGTCATAGAATGTCTGGCTGATACCATGATTTGGTGGGCAAGAAGGAAAAGAGAGGCAATCTAATTAGCAAGATGGTACTTGATGGTTTTCTTTTAAAAGTGTTCCTACCTAGAGAAATACTTTTAAAGAGAGAAATAACTCTGCTCAAAAGATATTGAAACAATTAGAAAGGGGCTGTGTTTTCAGATAGAAGAGCCTGTAGTTTATGCAAGTTAGTCATGTTCCACATTGGTTTGGCAAGCCAGAGACATTGCAGAACTTGGATTTGGTTTTAGAAACTGAGAAGTGTTTGCAAATAAATAGAGACTTACTGGAATAAAAACATAATACAGATGCTGATTCTCTTAAATAAACCTGGGCCACCAACTGTGCTTATGTTGGTTACTGTTACTGCGTATATTGTACCATCCTTCTGCTCAGTCAGTTTTGTTCTCATGAAGAATATTGGGATACAATATATGAGGTTACTAATATACAAGTGCCAACAGATAAAACTTAGGAATGATAAAATTTAGTGTATTTTCAAGGTAGAGATGTTTTCAAGGTAGAGATAGAATTAAAAACTTGAAACACATGAGGAAAGACTTTCACAAACAAAAATTTAAACAGCAGTGTAGTTTTATCACTTAAAATAGTGAGGAGGCTTCTCTCAGTGCTAATGACTTGATATATAGCTCTATTAGGCTATGAAATTAGAATAATTTGAGTAATGCTTGAAGTGGCAATAAGATATGATTTTGACTTTCTGTTATAACTAAAGTTTATATTAAATTCTGAATAACCTTAACTGTTAGGCTCTTATTAGGAAATGTCTTACCTTAGACATTTTAATATTTAATATTTTTAATATTAAGTGATTTCACATTTTTTCTTATAATACTATTTTTTATATTTTCTTTTTAAAATGTTCTCATACTTTATCTCACTTAAGCCTTACAACATTTTGTGAGGTGAATACGACAGGAAATATGTTATAGTAAAGGCAATGATGCACAGAGAGGCAAAATGCCTACCCAAAGACATCTTTTCATTTTAACAGGGCCGGGGATGGTGTTGTTTATGCCTTTTATAATAGATCTTTACATAACATATAAGATCTTTTATTTTAAGATATTCCTGTCTTAAATCCGGGAATAGCCACTTGGTAACCATCAGTGTTATATGTACTTTTCTGTGAGACTTTTTTTCCCACAATAAACTGAAGGGAACTACTTCATCATAGGACCAAAGAAAGACAGAACATTTGATAGCTTGAATTGTTTCATATCTCATATTCAGTAAAGCATGCACAAAGTAAAAGGGAATAGACATAGGGGAATTATTGTTTAGTTACAATATTTAGTTATAATGTTTAGTTATAATATTTACAGAAAAATGAAGTTGAAATGAGACAAAGTAGATAATTAACATGCGATTTTTTCAAGAAAAATAATAAGCAGATAAACCCCCAAATATCATGTATTCCTTCAATTTGCACATTTTGCACCTTTCTTCTTTTAATACTTATATGCTGAATAAATGTAAATTTAATGTAGATATTGAAAATAGACTCTTTGTTATAATTTTTTCAATGGTCACTCTATGTAAATTTTTAATTCATTGTGAGTCTGGGTAGGTTTTAACAGCCAGCCGCATTTGTGTTGCTTTATCATGTAGAGTCTGCTGCCGTTAATTTAAAGAGCTTCTGCCTCTGCAAATTGCACTTTGATGTTTTATTTTGAGACAAATATTTATAAAATATTCCAAGTATCTTTGTATTTAATAGCTGTTCTTCCCAAATATCTTTCAAAACTATATTACATATTCACATCAAAGATTTTATATTTGATATTATTTTATTTTAGTTTTTTAGAGAGAGAGTGAGTGGGGGTGAGGGAGGGGCAGAGGGAGAGGAAGAGAGAGAATCCCAAGCAGGCCAACCCCCAACCTGGGGCTCCATCTCATGACCCATAACCCTGAGATCATGACGAGCTGAAATCAAGAGTTGGACACCCAACTGACTGAGCCACAGGAGCCCCACAGTTGATATTATTTTATTTTATTTTATTTTATTTTTTTAAAGATTATTTATTTATTTGAAAGAGAGAGAGAATTAGAGAGAGAGAGAGAGAGAGCACATGAGACGGGGGAGGGTCAGAGGGAGAAGCAGACTCCCTGCCGAGCAGGGAGCCTGATGCGGGACTCGATCCTGGGACTCCAGGATCATGACCTGAGCTGAAGGCAGTCGCTTAACCAACTGAGCCACTCAGGCGCCCCAGTTGATATTATTTTAAATGTAGCAAATGATATGAGAATATTTTTGGCTTGTTATATTTACTTAACTGTAATTTTCTTGTAAATTAATTAACCAGGTAGTTATTGCTCTTTATAGTATAAATAAAATATGTTTATGATATTAATTCTATACTTACTTTGAATGTCTCTGTAATTGTGCATTATCTGTTATGCCTTTTAGAATTTGTGCTTTGGGTATTTTAAGTCACTTTAAACTGATAATTTTTTTGAAAGTATGCTATCCATTCTAAAATACACATTTGTGGTGGATACTTTCTGTGCAGACCAGATAGGGTTTTTAAGGCTAAGTAACTGATGACTTATTTCATGTAATGGTCTTTTTGAGAATTTGAGAATTTTTGTTAGTTTGTTTTATATGTTAATATTAATAATTATCTTTTCTGCAAGATGCTTTACAAACATTATTGTGGTTAGTCCTTATTGCAAATCTTTAGGTTTGGCATTGTTTTTCTCATTTTATAGATGAGGAAATAGAGGCTTAAAAGGGTTCCACAGAGGGGTGCATGGGTGGCACAGTCGGTTAAGTGTACGACTCTTAGTTTTGGCTCAGGTCATGATCTCAGGGTGGTGAGATCGAGCCCCGCAACCAGCTCTGTGCTCAGCATGGAGTCTGCTTGAGATTCTTTCTCTCTCTCCCTCTGCCCCTCCTATATGTGCTCTCTCTCTCAAATAAGTAAATAAATCTTTAAAAAAGTTTTTTAAAGGATCCCACAGGTAAGAGGTGAATAGACACAGGCCTGTCTGTGTATAAAGGCCAGTTCTTAACTACTATAATATATTGTATCCCAGAATGATTTCTATTTCAGCAATTTTGGCTCCTCAAAAGTGCTGAATCGGTAAATTCAGGGCTGCTCTATTTGACGACCTGGTGCTCTGCAGAATATCATGATAGGGCTTTTTAAGAAAAGAATACAACCTGAAGAAATCAAATAGTTGTCAAGTTCCCAGCAGACTAGTGACAGATCTAGGATTAGCTGTTAGAATTTTAGCTACCTGGCTTGCTTACAGTTTTCATTTATTTAGGCTTTTCATTCTTAATTCGAAGGCTGAGTGCTGATATATATATATGGAAACATTAAATAAATCATATACTTCATGTTATAGCTCCTTTATGCAAAACAAACTATACAATAATGAAATTTTCTTTTCCTTCTTTTTTTGATACAGTGGGATGCATCCTGCTTTTATCTTGGTGTTCACCCCTGTGGCTTGGATTTATCACAGTAGCATCTGTCTTCGATCTATGTGTTAACTAGAAATCAAGGGAAGACATGAGGAGGTTTGTTTACTGCAAGGTGGTTCTAGCCACTTCACTGATGTGGGTGCTTGTTGATGTCTTCTTACTCCTGTACTTCAGTGAATGTAACAAATGTGATGACAAGAAGGAGAGATCCCTGCTACCTGCACTCAGGGGTAAGTGCTTATGAAGCAAATGTTGCTTTTATAGAGATGAGAGATGTGGTGACTCTTGACAAAACGTGAAACTTTGAAATAGGGATTTTTTAAGCTATTGAGTTAGAAGAGCATTTTGGCAGAACTACTAATGTACATTTAACCATGGGAAAGCTACTTTACTTGCTTGGCCTCAGGGGTCTTGTTGGAAGAAATGAGAAGAGTTAGCCTCTAAGGTACCTTCCAATTCTAATAATTACAGTGTTCTGTGACTGTATGGAAAGAACAATTTAGTGAACATTCAAGTAGGACAGAATTTAAAATTTAGGCTTCCAGAAGCAACAGCTCTTGGAGGCTAAGCACACAACATAAAAGGGAAAAGCTACTAAAGTGAGGTGGTGGGGACTGTAGCAAAATGTAAGGACACATGACACCCCTACAGACTTCCAAAAACAATAAATGAACAAACAACTTTTTAAACAAAACACATATTGATGGGCAGATTCAATCTGTGGGCAACAGATCGTTGCCCCATAATTTGAAGTGCATGATAAAGTCACTTTAACTCAGTATTTCCTTCTGTAGGGACCAATTTCAATGACGACATAAGAAACATAATGATTTTTATAAATGGTGATTTATTAAGTCAAGTGATAGGGATTCATTTTTTGCAGTTATTCCAAATAATCTTCTCTATGCTTTTTGTTGACTTCTAGATTTATTAAAATATTTCCATAATATTCCTAGTATAGTAGTGCTTCTAACGTATATAGGATGCTTGAAATTAGTTTTATTATCATTGAGATAAACATTGTTTTTCTTGAAATCTAATTTATACTAATTCTCTGCTTAGCAAACGTTTTCTTTATAAATATGATAAAAGGTAAGCTTTGAGTCCCATTTGGAATGTTTATATCTTTTAGAAAAGTGAATCTAAATTACTGACTTGAGTTTTGCATTTGCTTAATGGATGTAGTCAGCTTTTAATGTTAGATATTTTTGAGGTTATTTACTAATCAAAATATGTGAATAAACAGAATTTTATTGATACTATTGGGTTATATGAGGCTTAGGAAAAACAGAAGAGCATTTCCAAAAATTAGTTTTTGTTAAAAGAGTATTTTGAACTTTTTTTCACTTTAGATTGCAGTAATGCTCTTGCTTAATTGGAGAAATTCTATCTTCCCCTTTTTCAAAGTGAGTTTCGCTCACTGTAATTTTTGGCTAACACAAAAAATTGAGAGAAAGTACTTTGGAAGTGACTGAGCCTAGACCCATTTAGGTAGTTTATATGCATATTTTATGCCTTTATACTAGAATTATTCAAAGAGGAGAACTTTATGAGTCTATCAGTTTTTGATAAATGAACATGGGGATTGATATGCTGATCTTTGGTTAAAATCCCAGAAAAACTCTGCCTTCTCTGCCTCTTTGTTAAATCAGTTGAGCTACTGCTTGGCTGAAAGTGTGTTTTGATGGATCTCATCAGTTTGGAATGATCACTTTGTCATTTGTTGAATAGCGACATTTAGATTGGTCACAAAAAAATGTCATAATCTGATTCAGCAAAACTATGACAGCTTATTCTGCGAGTACCAAAAAAGTACAGCTTTGCTGATTTAAGTCCTTAATGCTCAGTCTTAAATCTCAAAATGTGAAATTTAATGATGCAAGGCAAAAGTAGTAATTTTTCCTCATACTTAAGTTGTAAAATTAAACTATATTCTCCTTATTTTTAAGGCTTATTTAATGTTGTACATTAATATTTCTCTTGAATATATGGAAATAGACTTTAGGGTTTTAAGTTTATTTTCTATTTTTACTTCTTATTTTAGAATCTTTATTTAGGAATTGTGCCACATATTTAAAATGATATTTTTTTATAGGCAGACAGTGCTGTGCAAACTGTACTTGACTAAATATTTCATGTTTTGCACATGCTAAAAACAGGCTTTTTGACTTAAACTTGATCCTTCTGAACTTATGTGTCCCCATTATTAAAAAAAAAAAGGGTTTGGACTTGGTGGTTTCTCAGATCCCTTTTAGTACTAAATTTTAAACAATTTTAAGTGCCCACTGTTAGCATACACTATGAGTTAATTTTTGAGACACGTTTGTTCATTTATTTATCAATTCATCAATTATTTAAGGGCCTATTGGATCAACACTTTGTACACCTTAAACTTACATGGTGTTCTATGTCAACTGTATCTCGAAAAAGAAAAGAAAGGAAAGGAAAAGAACATAGCCAAGTGATGGACAAAGGAAAGGAAGGTACTAGAATTTTTATTAAATAACAGAGATTACAGGATATTTCTGAATGAGAAAAATGCAGAGCTCTTCTAAGATTAGAGTAATTAAGACTATAGTATTGGTACAAGGGGTCACAATGAGTAGCCAAATTGCCTAATGGAATAGCGTAGAGACTCTAGAAGTAGACTTACACTAAGTGTTTGGACAATCAAAATATGACAGGAGCACCACAGATCAATGGGGGAGAGAAGGGCTCTTTAATAAATGGATCTGAAAATAAGATGATCATCCATGTGGAAAACATGAAATTGGATGCCTAACTCGTGTCATAAACCAAGATAAACTTTGGATTTATTAATGTCAACAATAAAACTAAAACTTTTAGTGAAAAAAATTTAGGCATTTATAAGACCTCGAATTAAGGAAAAATTTTAAAACACTACACAAAAAACATTGACCATAAAAGAAAATATAGATAAATTTGACTATTTGACTATATTAAAATTGAGAAAGTTGTTTCATTAAAATATACCTTAAAAGAGAAGTTACAAACTGTAGATGTTAAAAGAGCATGCAACTGAGAAATTGTTAAGTGTATACACACACACACACACACACAGACACATCCCCTACACATACATATGGAGATATATATCACACACATGCACATATACACACACACTATTATTAATAAGAAAAGTACAAATAACCCAATAGGAAAAAATGGGTGACAGGCATGAATAGACACTTCTTAGAAAAGAAAATACATATAGCAACAAAAACTTATGAAGAAATATTTAACATCAGTTGTGATCAGGGAAACACAGACCAAGGCTATAATGATACATTTATATCCATTCAACTGGCAAAAATTAAATTGGCTGATAATACCAATTGCTAGAAGTGATGCATCTCCACATTTTTTCAAAGATTTATTTATTTATTTATTTATTTATTTATTTATTTATTTATATTTTTGAGAGAGAGAGTGTGAGCAGGGTGGGGGAGGGGCAGAGAGAAAGGGAGAGAGAATCCCAAGTAGAGGATCAATGATCCAGAGATCACAACCTGAGCTGAAACCAAGAGTCAGTCGCTTGACTGACTAAGCCACCCAGGCACCCCCATCTCCACATTTTTATAATAACTTTAGATAAGAGTTCATTAATGATTTCTGAAATCTGAACATTCATATATAACCCATCACTCATAGTCATACACTCAGGATTTCTTCCACATAGACAAATATTTCACAGTACTACTGTTCATAAAAATAAAAGCTAAAAATAACCCATAGATCTATCAGTGGGGAAGCTGATGAATGAATTGTGATATATCAATATAAGAGAATAGTATATATTAGTTAAAATGAATGAATTTTAATAATATAACAGTAAGCTATATCCCTCAAAGATGATAAATAACATGATATAGTTTGAAAAGCTAAAACTAAAATTTAAAAGTATACATTTTAAGAATATGTAGAGATGCAACAAGACTCTATAAAGCAAGCAAGATTAATTATGATAATGGGATTTAGGATGTTTATTTTCATGTGTTGGGTGAGACAGGTACATGAGATGGGGATGAACATTTTGACTGAATATGGGGCATTAGTAGTGTCCTCGATTTGTTTTTCTCGTGGGTTTGATGTGTCTATTACATTATATTACATGGATAACTAAATGAATAAGAGCCACTGAATGGATTTAAAAGAGCAGACATGATCACATTTGTGTTATGGAAAGATCACTATGGATTCAGTGTGGAGAATGGATTGGAGAAGAGTTGGTCTCTTTAGGGAGGTTGGGTATGAAGCTCTGGTAGTGTCCCATGAATTCTGTGTAGGCAATGATGCCTACTTATGGCAGAGAATGGTGGTGAAGTGTGATGGAAGTGGGAAAAATGAAGAGGTATTTGAGATATGGGAGCTGGTACATGACTGGCTCTGGCAGGTGTAGGATATGGGAGTGTCAAGAAAGAGTCTTGAGTTTCTTGAGGGCATTATTTGGTTCAATTTCCTGAGAGGGGAAAAATGTAGGAGGAGATGAGTTGAGGGTGGACATTGAGTTTATTTTAGACATGTTGAATTTTAGACACCTGTTAGGCAACTGAAGGGAATTGTTCAGTAGGAAGTTGGCTACATTATTAAACTCCAAGTATCAAACTTAAAAACCGTCACTTCTATGGAAACTTTTTTTCTAAAATGGATTGCATTTTTTCTCTTCTTTATTGAAGAATGAAGCATATGGAAAATAATTGAATCTTTGTTACTGAGTCAGCATTATCATATTCACACATCAATTATTGAATGATGCTGTTTAAAAAAAGATTATTTCAGGCACTTTACGGGAACATGTAGAACTGTTCCAATATTAAATACAGACATGTAAATCCTTTTTCTTTTCCTCTTTTCTAAAGGATTGCTTTTTGGTAATGGAAGTACTTGTTAGGGGAGCATGTTAACTTTTTCATGCCACTCTGGGGTCACCTAGAATTAAAATGCACTGAAAGATAACTGGTATGGAATACCAACTAGTGGTACTCCCAAGCTGGAAGAATTAGATATTTGAGAGTAGAGGTATTTAAAAAGACCAGTGCTGCTGTAGTCCATCTAGAAACACTTTGGGACAAATTTGAGGTTGTGTGGTAGGTTTGCATGAGCACTCTGCCATAGTGGATCTTACTCTTGGCTGACCCACTAAGGGCCTATGTCCGAGGGCAAGTTAATTAATCTTTCTGGGCCTCGGTTGCCATCTGCAAAATGAAAT